CTCCCCTCTAGCCCCATGGGTTAGAACCGGCCCTCTATTACTACTGACTTCTTTTGCTTTTGTCTCAATATACGAGGGTGGTCCCAGAAGTACCCGACCTAACAAAGAAAACACACAAAATTTGGGAAAAAATATCTTTATTTCTCAACACATAGTCTCCTTTTAGCTCGGTACACTTTGTGTATCGAGCCACTCAGCTTTCAAACTGCACACACCATATTATCCCTTCCACCATGATTGAAAGGCTCTGTTCTACATTGCGAATGTTTTCCTCCTTCTTAAGCGATCGATAAGTTAATCATACATGACTTTTATATTTACTTTCTTGCATTTTGACAGATGCATGATTCGCTGTTTAAAGCGCTGATTAAGTCATTCGCAAAAAATGGCATTCATTGTGGCTTGTGTCACAATTGCATAGTGACGCATAAAAATTGGTCGAATCAATCAATCAATCAGTCAAATCCATTGGTCGTATCACGAAGTAAGAGGGAAGGAGACTCAACTTCGTGAAGAAAAATGATTGGTTTGGGCATCAAATTGCGAGAAATCCACTGAAAAAAATAACTTACAAATTTAGACGGCATTTGCAATATCCACCTTATATTGCTTTATTTGCTGGCTTTATTGGTATTTTCCAGCGGTGTTTTATATCCTTGTATTACAACGATTTTTGTAATTGCAAAGATGTAATGTTGAATTCGTGAATGAAAAAGAAGAAAAAAAATGCTTTAGAAAAGAGAAATAACTTTTTTAAACCTCGCACAGTAAGTACATAGCAGTATTTTTTATAATTGTAGAAATACGATAAAGTTGTCTGAAACTGTCAATGTATGTAAAGCTGTTGTATTTTATTTGATTGAAAATGAACATGATTTGAAAGTATCTGAATAAAAAAGATTTTCTCACAATTAGAAGCGCAAATCAGAGAAACAAACATGTGCAATCTGTACAAGTAGTACAGCTGACTGTTTTTTTACAAATGGCGTCTAAATTAGTAAGTTATTCTTTTCAGCGAATTTCCTATCAATTCGGTGCCCAAGTCAGTCTCACTTTTCCAACTTGTACGGTACCAAGTTGAGTTTCCTCTCCTCTTATTTCGTGGGTCGAATTAATTTATTGTACATACGAGCCACAAACTAAAGAAGAGAATAGGGGAGGAAAAGGTTATAGTTTTTACATGTACATCTAATCTATGCTTAACACCAATCAATTACATGACTATTTCTTAACAATCTCCTCGGTAGTTTAAAAGCTTAGGACGCTCGCGCGGAATGTAAGAGATTCGGATTCAATTCCCGGCCGAGATAATATTTTTCGCAATAAGCATTAATTATTAACAAATTTTAATATGTCACTCAGCATTATTAAGATCGTTCTAAGATGCGAAAAAACATGAAATTATTAAATTATTACACTGAGAGAAAACGAATATAGTTATAGCTAACTAAAAAAAAATATATAAATTCGACAACTTTTGCAATTTATGTCTGTAACTATAGTTATACAAACTAATAGCAACTAAAGTAGTACTGAATACTATGACAAATATAGTTTCGGTAATAATATTGTAGCACTATTAATTGGTAATGAAATAATGACTCAACTACAATACATTGAATAATTACTTGGACTTCATGCAAATAGATGAAACAATTACATTTTTCTAGTTTAGACAAAAATTTTTTTTTAATAAAACACTATATTGTAGGAACTAATTAATCTTTGTTGAGGTAACTTGAAGGAATACATTCACAATTTTCTCTAAAGTCATTCAGCATAAGCAGTACGCAGCATTGTCACCAGAAGGGCGTGGCAAAGTTCATTTTCTCCTAAAAAGAAAACCAGATTACAATAAAAGGCACAGCGTTGGTTTTGAACTTGGAAGACAAAAATAAATAAGAAATGCATACAAAAATTTATAATTATGTATTATAAAGTTTTAATAAGAACAGTAAATAAAAAAATTAAAGAAAATATAGTAATATTGTACTAATCATTTGTAATTGATTATATAATTAATGTTACTGTATTTTCTTAGTTCGCTTAATATAATATTCTTATTAGAGTAATATATAGGGTGTCCCATTTTAATGTTCTACCCCAGATAACTTTTTTATTTTTGATCTTAGAAAAAAATGTTTCAGACAAAAGTTGTATGGCTTTGAGGGGGACATAAGATAGTGCCAGTTTGACCTTGAAGGTTACGTGAAGATTACCTTCAATTTCTTAAATAAAACCTCCTACTTTTTATTGCACATTCTTGTAGAGAGACACTACCGTGTCTTCAGATATATCATCTTCGAGAACATCCCTCCTGCAAAGAGTCGAATAAAAAATAGTTTCGAATTTCACAATAAATTAACTGGAATGGCAATCGACACAACAGAGATTATGGCACTAAACATTCATTTTTACGTAAAAATGAAAATAAGAGGTATAATCTTCATTGGCCTTGATTTTGATAAATGTTATCCAGGTCATGATTCTGAACAACATTCAAGAGATTTTAGCCATCGCGTCAGTCGGACATCTTAGATGCTAATGCCGGCGGTGCTGTAATTTGCAAGCCTTAATATAACTTGAAAAGTACTTCGTACGAAAGTATTCGAAAAGTAAAATCGTTCTTTAATTCATACTTTTATTTTGTTTTACATTTTATTATTCTTTGTATGGTTTTGATCTTAATTTGCGTCAACACATATTTTTGAACTAAAAATTCATTTCTACACAAAAATTAAAATAAGAGATACAACCTCTAATGAACTTGACAAATGTTATTCAGAACATGATCCTAAACAACATTTAAGAGATTTTTAACCGTTGGTCGGGCACTTTGCATAGTGCTAATGCCTGCTGTAACTTGCAAGTCTTATAACTCGAAAAGTACTTAATAAAAATGAACTTAATTACAGTTTTGGAAAACTCTCGAGGTAAGCTACAAGAATACGTAATAAAAAATGGAGGGTTCCGATTAAAAAATTCAAAGTAACCTTACCCTAATCTTGATGACGCCATCCAAAATCCTATCAATGGCACCATTTTATGTCCCCCTCAAAGTCCCAAAACTTTTTGTCTGAAACATTTTTCCTTAAAATGCACTGTTCAAGAGATATTTGAGGTAATCGATTAAAATGGGACACCTTGTATAGTTGAGGCGCTATTTCACTACAAATTTATGGTTGTTTTTTACTGATACGACTTTTTTCTCTGAGTATAATCAATTTAACTCGTAATATTACTGCAATAGTTTAGTAGAGTTTACGTTTCAAGACCGAAAAATCATTTCGGCGCGCAGTTTAAAGGATTACATACGTAGTAAATAAATTCACACAGAATTAAATAAATACCTACTTAAGATTCAGTTAAGACCGTTAAAGGCATTGATTCTATTGATTGTATTCTTACATACGGTCGAATAAGACTCAATATTTAATACTGTTTCTTAACGTTTTGATTAGCGCGTGCAAGGAAACTAGGCATGAAATAATCAGGGTTGTTAACGCTACCGTTTTTAAATACGTTACTGTTACTTGCGGTAAAAAGTACATACTTTGTTATTCGTTACTTGTTACCAATACTGAAAGTAACGCGTTATTTAAAAGTAATGAAAAAATTATTACTTTTTTCATTACTTTTCCAAAAATGATTTATTTAAATAATTATATAAGAATAAATCGTTTTTTAATTCATACTTTTATTTTGTTTTACATTTTATTAGTTTTTTATTTGATTTTGATACTTATCTTAATTTGCGTCAACACATATTTTTTAACTTTAAATTATATCTAATTAATTTATATCGCTGAACCTTTTTATTTAATAATAATTGTTTTTCAAAATATTCGTCTGTTAGACAGACTGTCAAAGATTCGTCAAAACGAGTCCACCAGTATTAAAAAGTCTTTCTATCAATGCACTAGTCGACCGACACTAGTTGACACTAGTAGTTGACACTAGTAGACCGACATTATATTTGATTAAAACAATTTTTTCAAGAAAGGATGTTTATTTAACATGCTGACATCGGTATCTTCCAAATTTAAATAGCGTACATTCTCTCTTTCAGTCTTATTAAAGTAACTCTATTATCCGTATTCATAGTCAGACCTTATATTTAAGGCTTCCTTAAATTTATCTTCAGATGTTTAGTAGTCAATAAAATATTATAATTCGTAAAGCATCTGAAGATGAATTTAAGAAAGCCTTAAATATAAGGCCTGACTATGAATATGGACATACGCATCAACGAAATAATGAAAAAAGTAATGTTTCATTACTTGTTACTGAACATTGTGACTTAGTTATCGTTACTGTTACTCATTAGGAAAAGTAACTATGCTACTCATTCGTTACTAAAAAAAGTAACTTTGTTACTTTTTTTATATAACTTATATAACTCTGAAAATAATATACATATCAAATACAGAAATCAAGGATGGTAATATGCTTCGTTCAATGTATGGAGATGTTTAGTATGTATTAGAACAGGCACAGCAGCATGTAAACTCATCATGCAAAAAATTATGCCTCATGTGCGGTCGGTTTAAAATAATCGCGCATCTCGAGCCATACCGTCGTGGATTGGTCGAGGGACACAATTTGAACTATCTCACACGTTATATAACAGTTATATTTATATTTGCTGGGAAAAGACTCGAAAGTTTTATTTACATTTTATACATAGTATAAATGTCATAAAAAAATTAAATTACACAAGCCGTATTTAAGTAATCTTCATGCAAAGATAACGCATTAATCAATTCCAGAATTTTCGATCTCATCATTCAAATAATTTTTATATTCCATCACGACTTTTACCGCAATATTTCTTTGATAAGCAAATGAGCTCTTTAAATCGTCTTGTTTGAACTTAATGACCAATATTTACCAGAAATATAATTTTTTAAAATATACTGAGAGATATATATATCATTAAATGTGGCATTTATAAAAAACTTACAGAATAATGGTAGCGACAATGATTAACACGATGCTGAGCATAATTTTCCTGCAGTGATCGTGCTTTTTATCAAAGGGTTGACTTCGAGCACCGCAATGTCCCGCACATCTGCAACAACAGAAAAAGAGACCGGCGCAGGGGAGAATAGCTGCCAGGATAAGTCCGATCAGAGCGAGACCGGCCAATCCTCCGTAATGCGTTACTATTATCTTCCATTCCTTGAGAGGGTCCACAAAAGCCGGAGCGCCGTCGACCAAAGTGATCATACCTGCAAGAGAAACAGAAACATGTCATGTGATTATTAGTGATTCCCTTTTTGCCGGATACAATCGTTACCACGAGATAGAAATTAAATCAATTAAAGGAATTAAAATAATTAATTTAATCAATTAAAACAAACTCTGATTTTAGTTGACCGAGTTACAGGCTGATTAAATTGTTTTACACTATACATCGGGCTGTAATCTAGAAAAACAGACTGTGCTTTACTGCAATCAAGTCAAGGAATGCGACACCGCCAATTTCTTGGCAATAACAAAATCTGCTTGTAGAAGTCTAAAGATCGAATCAGCTGTTTATGTAATTTACATGCAGAACGATAAAAATTGCTGTTCAAAAAGACAGACAACATAAAATTTGTATTTAAAAAATTACATATAGATCTTGTTATGCGAATTAAGTAGGCTGGAAAAGTTTCTGCAAACAGTATGAAAAAAAAACATGTAAAATTCGGTAAATGGCTTTATTGTTTTTCGAAGTATTCGCCTTTAAGATCGATACATTTTTGCATACGCTCGAACCAATTTTCGAAGCATTTTTTCCACTCTAAGGTTGTAACCTCAGAAATCAGTGTACGAAATGTTTCAACAGCTGCTTCAGGCAATTCAAATCGCTCACCACGCATCATATTTTTAATGTTTGGGAACAAAAAGAAGTCATTAAGTGATAAATCAGGAATACGGATAATGAGTCAATTCGACATTATTACTGGATAAAAAATCAACGGTTTGACGTGCTGTGTGACAGCTGGCGTTGTCATGATGAAGGATGATGCGACGATTTTGGTTTGTTCTACGCAATTCATTTATGACTTCTGGCGAACAAATTGTTGTATATCAATCATTTACAGTCCCTCGATCCTCTAAAGCCACGGTTGTCACATGTCCGGTATAACCGAAGAAACAAGCAATCATTTGCTTGGCAGCACTGCGAACGAATAACTTTTGTTGATTTCGGTTCATTTTGAAATACCTAAACAGGAGTTGTTGTTTACTTTCGGGCTCATACGAATAGATCCATGTTTCGTCCCCAGTAACGATGTTGTAACTAAATCTCGGTTGTTTGACCGACCTCGGTTGAATTTCTTGAGCATTTCTTTGCTCCATTTAACA